TGGTTGATGATGCATGGAGGGGATTGGAACCATGGCAATGAGATGATATATGATGGAATGAATGTAAAACTAAAGTTCCCCCATGTAAACTATCATATAATTCACAATAGAACATTAAAAAAAAAAAAAGGCAATGAGAGAAAAAGGAGAGGTGTAAGATCAAGATCAAGCAAACCCAATGGGAAAGGCATTGAAAGGAAAAACAAAACTTTGCCAGTTGCACAATGGCAAGACTCTGTTTGGCCAGCACTCTCCCAGGTTCCCAAGATAGCTGGACAACTTCCAGGCAGATGATTCAAAAGGCTGATGAAACCAAATGTAGTGCTCTGGCTCCTCTTCAGAAGGACAGAATTTATACTCTGCCAGAGCAGGAAAAAAAAGAAAGCATTCCCTGGAAGTCAGACAAATTCCCATGCCTGAAAAGAGAATGGGATTTAGTGTAGGTGAAAATAAAGAGACTAGATTTGACTGATGTGGTCTGGACCCCACCCCCAACTAGTGACATGAGAGTTTGTTGCTAACCACATCTGTTATTTCATTCAAACAGACTCTTGTATGGGAGAGATAGTCAAGACCAGTGAGTATACCAGTGGAATCTGGAGAGTTTTTAAGAATGAATAGTTGATTCCACATCACAGATTCTGTGTTAGGGTACAACCAGAGTAATCGTATTTTAAGAAACTTCCTACAGGACTAAAACACCCCATGGACATTTCCTAAATATGAATAAAAGACTTTCTGCTCCTAAACTGGAGTTGAGGAGGAGAATGAGTGTCTCTTGGGGTTCCTACACAAATGGTATCTCTATTCTCTGTTTTCCATTTCTCTCTACCATTCTGTACCAGCCATTTCTTGAATACATCCAGGATGTTTTGTTCCATATCTAGTCTGCTTTGTATTCTCAGGTAGATGTAACCTCATGGTTTTTTTTGGATTTTAACTGACTCCTCCAATTATGTTACCCACTTCCTGCGATTCTATTGTGTTCCCTTTACATAATTCTCCCAGTCATTCTCCAGCTACAGCTTGCCTGGTGCCTGTCTGCTCTCTGCATGGAACTGCTGTCACTACAGTAGAAGGTGTCGGAAGTATCAAGACCCGGGTTCACCCTGTGCAAGTAAGAGCTTGATAGAATTGGGGAACAACGTAGATTCTAATGTATTCCAATTAGGTAATCAACTTTGAAATCCTTTGTGCTTTTCAATTCTCATTAAGGTTTTGTGTGTGTGTGTATGTGTGTGCAAAAACCAAGATTTTAATATATACTAACCCCAAGATAACATCTCAGTCCCATAAACTAATATAAGGGTAGCCTAGTATAACAAATGAAGTAAATGAAAAAGGAAACCAGAACTTTAGAAAAGATACAAGTCATCTACCACATTTTAAAATCACTGACTTCAATAAATTAAGCATGTGTATAAATGCCCCTGAAATGTCAGACAACAACTGTACAATAGACTTCAACAAAACACAACTAAAATGACGCCATTTACCTTTGGGTATGTCATCTACCTGGAAAACAACATTGTGTTTGGTAAGGTAGAGGGTCAGCAAGAAAGAGGAAGACCCTCAGGGAGATGACCTGACATAGTGGCTGCAGCAATAGCCTCGTGCAAAACAACAATTGGGAGGCTGGCACAGGACTGGGCAGTGTTTCATTCTGTTGTTCATAGATAGGATCACTA